AAAAGATTCTTGCCCAGTGCACCCGCTGTCCCTTCATGACTCGTTCGAGAAACCCCACTTGCCAAGCCGTGACATAAGTCGTTCGCGCCGTTCTCAGGATATGAATAATGCCCAACGCTATTGCCCATCTCTTTGGATCCTTGTAGTCGGCGGTTTTCCATCCATTCGTCCCCGACCTCCCAGTATTGAAGAGTGGCACACAAGAGAATTCTTCCATGCGAGTGAGATTCACGCTACTCTTCTCGAACAAGAGGTCCCCGTCGCTGCCTGCACACGGCCCCATCACTTTCGCCCAATGTTCAATCCTCCACATCATTGGATTGTCTCGGAGATCCTCGCCCTCGGTCTTGTTCTTCTCCATAATATCTTTGCAAATGCTCGCCGAGATGCAATTTCAGTTCCATAAGAGGAAATCAAGACGCAATTCGCTAAGCTCGCGCATGAAGGCTCGCAATTACTCGTAGGGTACCTTCAAGGGAACCAATATCTGCACCTTGTCACTCTTCTTGGGCGGCGTCATGTCTTCAATTCGCGTCGTCGTAGAATCGATGTCGATCGATCTCTCCGCTTCTAACCGCGCTCGCTCTCGTTTGATATCGCAATGTCGGCGCACTCGCTTCTGACTTTGTTCTTCTCTTGATGCCCTAACATTGCCTCCTCCCGCGCCCAATCGAATTCTCGGCGCGTGCGAACGTTGTCCGGCCCATTGCATATTTCGGATTGATTTTGATGTCTTCGCCGAAGACTCAGATCTTGCATTGTCCAGAAAAGGCTACGCCAAAGATCCGCAGATCTTTGGCCAAAGGCGAATTCCAACTATTTCTATCATAAGTATTCTAATTCTATTACTTCTAACTCATATGTCTACCTTCTACACAAATATGTTTAAGTTTTGTTGATTTTTGAACAAAAAACTAAAAAACTAGGCACCACAAAAAGCTACATTTGAAACATCTTGCTAAGTTTATGTGAAACACAACGGTATTTCATAGTGCTTGTATGTCTAGATTTTGCATCAAATTATAAAGTCTTTCAACATTGCGTGAACACGCTAAAGCTAGACAACGAGCTGCCAATTAATAAGTATATCTCCAAGTTGGTTGAATTAGAATATTATTTTGCAATCAACAATAAGATTTGCAAGTTCATCAAGCAAATGGTTGACTGTATAGTTCGTTTTGAACAAAAGTTCACCACATGATATTAAGTTTTTGTCGAACTCGTCAAACTTTACACATTTGCGAACTACGGAGACAGTATCAAAAATTGCAGCATCTTCAAGTCTCACATTATCAAGATTATCAAAAAGATGGTTTATCAAGATGTGCACAAATTCATTTCTAACAAAATTAAACAATTACCTAGGCAGATGTGGAAACTTCACAATCTAAACAAAAACTTCGCAATGTTATTTGTTGTGGATGCAAAGGTTTTGCATGTGTTTGTAATGAGCTTTTATATTATTAGTCATAATGTTGTATGAAGTAATTACGTTTGCAATTATTATTGTCAAAAATAAAAATTTGCAATTGCATGATGTATTTCATTGTCTGATCTAGCCTTAACCTACAATTCAAATCATTTTCAATGTCATCTACAATATTGGCATTAAATCAAGAGAGTTGATTCAACATTGCATTTGAAGAAGATGAAAAACTTCATGTGAGACCGGCGAATTAATTTACTTTGGAAGATGGAAATAGATCTGAAGCTTACTTGATATTTTGGAAAATACATATGAAATTTGATAAAATTTAAACATGTATTCTGATTTCTTTAGAAACAAATGAGAAACCTCAAATGTCAACGTGACATCAATGGAGAGTCGAAGGTAGCAGATGAGGAAGATTGGATTGTAGATGATTTGTTGTCTTCAAATTTTTTATATTGTAATACAGTCATGACAAGTCATGGATAGTAATCATTGATTATTGGATTATTAAAATAGGCATTTTAAAATAAACCATCTACTCGACCGCATACTCACTGGCATTTGTCACTAACCCGTTGTATCATAACATGCGTTTGCGAGTTGGCCGTTTGCACGGATCGTCGTTTGTGGAGTTGGGACAAGATCTTGTAATGGAGCAATTTCGCATGGCATTGAAGCAGATCGCCAGCAATGACGGTGAGCCATGTGACCTCTTGCAGGAGAAGTTTGCACTTTTCATGGCGATGTGTATGGACGTATCATTCCTGATGCAGGCAGCAAGATAAAGCCCACGTTGCTATGGGCTCAAGTAGACGACTGCAATTTGTGCGAGGTGACAAAAGTTTTTGTTCATGTGCATGGCAATCCAGCAAGTGCTGTCAGTGGCAAAATGAACCTTAAAACCAACAATCGAATTCGCTTGATGCAGCGCGTGCGCCTCGGACAAGGCAAATGCGAGAACCAGGTCGCTATCTTGTACAACTCGGCGCAGTTCAAGCAAGTGCTGACCACAAAGCGCAAAGATCGGTACACCGCAATGTTGGCAGCGACTAGGATGGTGGACAAGGTTACGAGATTGGAAATTGAGAAGGAAGAAGATATTGTCGATGATGAGGAAGCTGAGCAGGATGAACTCTGGCTTGTGGACGATCCAGGCACCATTCTGAACTAGTACTTGGACGGCAAGGAGTTCGAAGAGATGATACTCGATGAGGGGAATGTTGTCAACTGATTTTGAAAAAAAAAATTGAAAATATTTTAAAACATTATAAAATACATTTTAAAATGTGGCCACCGACTCCCAGAATTAAAAGTGCAACACTAGTCATGAAGCATGCTCTTGACTTTGAAAATCACAATCGGCATGGCTTAGAAAATTTTGTTGTGACTCCAAAGCTAATAAATTCCACCATATCTTCAAAGAGATCAAATCTTTTTTCTTCCATCTATAAATTAAATGCAGCTATGTTCATCAACATGTTTTTGAGTAAAAAAGCAAAAGCATGAATTAGTATGGGGTAAAGTATGTCACTTTCTTTACCTCATTTCTTAGCCCATTATTTATAAAGGGTTTCTATTACACTACATAAATCATTATCTAGAGCTAGATTTCTATTATAAAACAATCAGCTATCATGACATTGTCAATATATATATATATATATATATATATTGCTGTGTGTATCTTTTGAAATCCAATGGTTGATTACATAATAAAATTATGATTTCCTTAAGTTTCTTAGCCCTATGTTGATAACTTGGTTTGATACTTGTATCACATTGGGAAATTCACTTTTTTATTTATTAAGTATTTTATTCTCTTATACAAGGTATATAAGAGGTATGTTATCGGGGCATAGCGCTATCTGACCCATTTGAAGTCATCCATGTAGGACTCTTACCATTATTTTCGTTTTATTTGCTTTGTCTGATAGCGATGTGAAAGGGATATGCAAAAATACATGAGATGCAGGAGTAAATAACAGAAATCCCCAGGGCAGTTATGGATTTCACTTGAGAGAATTTTACATTTGAGAAATTTCACGCTATCCTACAATTGCGACGTTTACTACAGTTCGCCTTTTTTGTCAGACTTTGGTCACATACGTATTGTAAATATGCATTAACAGCTCACATATTAATAGCTAATTAACTGGGTCAACACCTGGAACAGCACTCAGAAAATATAATTTTTCCTTCATACAATTTCTGATCTTGCAAGGCACAAAGGTGGCCGGTATTAAACAAACAAAACTCATTGACTGCTTCTTCTTACATCTCAGAAGATGAAAGGTAATAAAACAGCACAAGATGTAATCTAACGCATGGTCTGCCTCATTGATGGGACATTCAGGATTGATGGCGTCCTCAAGTCTGATTTGGACGTGGACAAAAGATCCGCAAAATGAATTAGATTATAGAGTTATGAGAATTAGCTAAAAATTTTTAGCAATTTGTTCCCAATTTAGAAAACTGTGATCGGAGCATCCCTTCACATCTTGAACAGATAATATAACAACTCGTGGGATGTTTTTGGTGGCTGCATATATGTTAATTCGTTGGATGGGTTACGAGCTTGAGTAAAATATCTGCACCTGTAGCTTCACGCTGCACGCCCTATGCAATAATTATTTTTTGTTGTGCAGACACAGTTAGCAATATGGCGGAAGCTCCTCGCGAAAAAACTATATACTTTGAGTTTCTAGATGCGTTCGGCTTCTGATGTGTCATTGTATCAGATCCTTGAGCCGAATTCAAGGAGCCAAACAACATAGCAGAGAAATGGATATAAAACAGAAAGTCTAAACTGTAGGTTCATCAGTTGTTGACCTGTTTCCTTAACGTATTATCAAAATTCTGACCTGCTGTGTTTCAATCATCCCAGATACCCGCGTCCTTTGGCGAACTCAGTGCACGAGATCCTAGAATCCATATCTTCTTTCATGGTTCACAAGTGAATTTTCTTCTGATAGAAAAACCACATTCTGGTGCAATCAAGACATCGTGGACATCCATGTGGAATCACCCTGTTTGCCCGCCGGAGCAATGGCTAGGTCCAAATTTACTTCAAGATGGGGAGTGAGCGAGAAGGTCTTCGATTTCTTATGATTCATTGCATTCCAAAAATCGACTTCAGCAACGGCAAACCTCTTTCTCATATTTGAGAATTTGGCAGACGATTTAAGCGTTGTTAGAAGTTCTGGTCTAGGTGCATATCATGTAGGGCAGAATTGGGCTGTTGTACGGGTTGGTCAGTCTTAGGGAATTGGATTTGAAGCATTCCGTAATAGAAGCACCGAAAAGAAAGACACATCATAACGAGATCTGACGTCGGAAGCAAAATCTTCAGACTAACAGACTTGGGGGCAGTATTAGTTCGAGGTGTGTTTTCAACATCTCCGTATGGAGCACCTCTGGCACAGACCATGGCAGAGAGTATGGGAAAGGTAGAAAGACGACAAACACTGAAAATATGTTGTAACATCAAAAGTACTGATTCCCTTGTAGTCTTATTTCGACGTAAAATAACTCACATTCCTATGCAATTTATTCTCACATTAAAAGAAGCGGGGTTTTTTCTGCTTTGATATACTTTTACAATCATTTTTTTTAAATGGTTACTGTATTGAAAATCACAGAAACATCGATATCAACAACCAAGGTTGATCCGCGCACAACATTCCATCCATATTGTCCTTACAATCCACATGATGCACTCTCTATCGATTCCTGTCATGTGCCGGGTAAAGCATGGCGCTAGGTTCTCATATTTCTTCCTCACAGATCTAGAGTCATATGTACACATCACCCAATATGGGCAAGCGCGGTTACCATATGAAGCGCTTGGCAGCAACAATCTCGCAGGTATTAGTCCCACATGTTCATCATACCAGTTCGGCCACCGATGATGAAGTACAGTACAGCACTAGAAGAAGCATGTGGAAAGCTTTCTCACACTTGCTTGCTTACGCTTACGCTGTTTGCGTTGTCTTGCGGAGAAAGCTCTGATCCTAGACGTACGATGCATCCCCAACCATTCAGAACTCCCCACCTTCAATGAAGCAGAACCCAATTTCGTTGAAGAGATGGGAGGAATTCCATGACGTCCCTCGTCAGTGAAATTGAGGCTCTCAAGTGACCAGCTATCTCTTTCCATGTCTCTTTCTCTCTCTGTGTCTGCCCCTTAGGGATGATCGTGGTGGTGATGGTCATGATCATGGTCGTGAGCATGGCCTTCTCCTGAAGGAGCATTTTGTAGTGCAGCTTGCTTTCTTCGCTCAACCTGTATGGTAACATGGCTGATATTGAACTTGGAGTCGCAGTAGTGAATCACCTTCTGCAGCACCTCATCGGACTCGGCCTCAGGGTGGATCATGACATGGCAAGCCAAGATTACTTTCCCAACAGTAATTGCCCATATGTGGAGCTCGTGCACAGCAATTACTCCGTCGATAGCTTCCAGACCCTTTTGCAGGAGTTTGGCATCGATTTCTCGCGGGGTGCTTTCCATCAAGACTGCCAGAATATCACTGACCATCTTCAACGTGGTCAACAGAACGATGATGGAGAAGAGAAAAGTGCATAACAAATCTACTATCTTCCACTCGGGCTTCCACCATATGACTGCTCCTCCAATCATGACACCAATGCTCTGTATCAGGTCTCCTAAGACATGTAAGTATGCGCTGCGCACATTGACATTTTCTGTTCTTCCACTAGAACCAGTGTGCCGACCTTCGTGTTCACTTGACGTCGAATTAATGGTCAACCTTCGCTCAAAAGATCCGTCGGCTTCATCACAAATGCAGACAATGATTCGATCATGACCCTTGACGACAAGATTCTGTCGCTTGCACTCCTGCCTGTGTTGATTTGGGTCAGAACTCAGTGCTTCTTCCACCATAAGAGCTGCGTGCTCGTCGTGCTCCGGGTGTGCTTCGTCGTGGTGATGCTCCTCATCTGCATGATCGTGACCGTGATGGCTTCCGTGTTCATGAGCACTTGTGTGTTCGTGGTCATGCCCATGATCATGGCTGTGCCCGTGCCCGTGCCCGTGCCCTCCGTGTCCATGGTCATGTCCCAACAAGAACATCATCACGAGGTTAACAAGAAGTCCGAGCGAGGCTACGATGAACATTAACCGACCATCGATTGCAACCTGCTCGGTGAAAAGCCTGTCAACTGCTTCGTACACTATAATTCCAGTGATCAACCATATGATCAATATCGAGACTAACGCGCCCAACACTTCCGCTCTGTAAAACCCGAACGAGTGGCGGTGACGGTCGGCCTCCAAGCCTCCAGCCCACACTGCAAAAAGAGATATGGCGAAACTCGCAACGTCGGACGACAAGTGAACTGCATCTGTAAGAACTGCTAGACTGCCTGCTTTGATTCCCCCGATAATTTCTATGATCATAAACACGACGCAAAAGTAAACTGCACGACTCAGCTTCTTGGTTGCTTCGGATCGTTCTTCTATGGCAGCTTCACTATTGTTGGCTATTCCACATACATCCGTACCACATTTCCAATCCTCGTTCAAAATCTTGTTTCCATTCTCTTCCTCCGCTCGAATTTGCTGCGGTTGCTGCGGGGCTCCACCGGATTCCACTAGCCGGTCCGAGAGCAGTGGAGCAGTCAGAGCAGTACTCTCTCCCATTCTTCCCATTGGGTAGAATGAGCCTGGAATTCGGCACTTGGATACCAACAATTATTGACTCGCTCTCACAGCATCTATCTGCAAAAGGTGCACAGAACTGGTTACGATCCTAAAGCAATCGACGTCTTCTTCGTGATCAGCAAGCTCAGCGGCTCACCACCATTCGACGTCCTCGGGAAGGAAGGGGCGAGTTCTCTCCACATCAGCCGTGAATCTTCCTCTCTAAGACGTAATGATGGCGAAATTGTGACGCTTACTAATCGAAGTTCCTCGAGGTCGTGTCGGCAGAGAACATCTACCAGAGGCACATCAAGCGCCCTCAAACCATCAAGGCTAGCAACAGCACAGACCATGCATGAGGGTGGACTGTGCAAAACAAAATCGATATGCAAACGAGGCCGGCGTCTAAATGCAGAAGAGCTTCCCGTCAAAGAGGGCAACGACGCGGTAAGGAAACAACGCTTCGCGACAGCACAACTCAAGGTGCGACGAGTGAAACGCAGGGCTCAAAGCCTGCAACCAAAGTTGAGGTCGTGGACGTCGAAATCTCCACGAACCATCGACACTCTGCACGAGCTAGAGTGAGCAACCGTGACCCAGGAGCATTCTCAACACGCATAGTGCATACGCTCCTGCAAGAATGCCGACTTTCCAGAAAGCCTAGCTAGGCACATGATCCCCGATGCACCTTCACATCGAACTCTGGCGTATGCAACAACATAGAAATTTGACCCCCTTGATTCCTGCATGCTCTCTATACATCAATCAATCAATCCACGCGCATCGTGGGACAAAACCCAGGTCAACTCCGGAATCTTCTCTCTTCCTCTCCCCTCTCTCACCTGCTTCGTCGGTCCCGCCTCAATTTCTCTTATCTCGCCTTCGTCCTCGCAGTCCATCATCCTCAAACACCCTCCTCCTCCTCGTCCTTCCTCGCTCCGCCCTCTGCAAAGCGAATTAAGTAGCACCTGGATTCAGCTCACCCGACGGGCTTCGGGTTCCGAGATGCAGAAAATTCGGTCGCCATATAGAATCAAGTCGAGTGAGGATTTGCAGCATCGCGCGGCGCTCGAATCGCGCACCTCCAAATCGAGGTCCGCCAGCTGCACGAGGTCCCAAGTCCAGCTTCATCTTCCGCTGCCTCACTGAACCCAAACGGCTGCCCTTCCGGCCTCCGGGACTCTTCTGGCTACGTGGTCGCTTTCGCCGTGGTAACCTATGCTGGCCCCTTTCCGGGTAACTGTGGTTAGGTGACTTTTTCGGCAGTCCCCGCTCATTCGGGTCGACCACCTTCCTCTGACCGATCGCTGACGTCAGCTTATCCAGGTGCCAAAACTCGAAGTCTGTGCCAAACCCATTGGGCCAAGTGGATAGCATAAAGGTATAATAAAATTCTCGTCCAATTTTTTAAATTTGAAAGCTACTGTTTATATACTCTCACTATAAATCTAATTATAAAAAGATATATTAACTATTTTCTAACAAATAGATCTCTTCTGTGTTTCATTTTTTGAACCTACAAAAATAGTGGAAAAAATGTTGTGAATGAACAAAATCTTATGATAATACCAAAAATTTAATATAACTTGATTATGAGTATAGTAAAAATTCAAATTTCTCTAATTGATATTTCAATATCACATATTTATAGTTTCGATACTGAATCGATAAAAAAAAAAAAAATTTAATTAAATATATAGGCAAAGTGATTAAATTGCATTCAGGATTTATTAATTAAACCTCTGAAATAATCAAACTCATATATTTAACATAGATACATTCCATTCGAACAGAATTTAAATCTGGTTGACCCTATTCAGCCAGCTATGATCGAGACCAGAGTACAACATTCTGGAAGTCGCTGGTAAACCAGGTTCGATGCATTACACTATGGACCGTTCCGTTTTGCTGCGGTCCGGTTGCCTTTCCTACGACGATGCCAAAAGATCTCATCAGTCGGTAGGTGAGCTGTCCTTCATGGTTCACAGCCGCGTCCATGCCCACCGTCACCCGATCAGACCGGACCGACGTAGTCACCGGAGCGCGTGTTCAGAGTATTTAAAAATAATGTTACAGTGGAGTACTGAAATCCTGCTACTTTATAAGTTTCTCTTTGGGTTTTTCTGGTGGTATGAGTACATGGGTCCAGCCCTGGCCCTTGGCGACGTGGCTGTTAATCCAAAAAGAGCATTCTGAATTTTGTTCTCTTTATTGGAACTACATATAGTTACCTCTTTGGTGCCCTTAGATGTTTCTTTCTCTTTAAAGTGCATAAATGTGTTGGGGTGATTTTTAAAAATGATTATATTTCGCTGGAAATTGGCCCCTTCTTCTACATCAATCAGAAGTTCACTACGAGATACACATGTGATTATCGTGTCCAACACTACGGCATAAGTTGTCTCTCCAACTCGAATCAATGCTTCTTTTGGCTTCTGTGTAGAGGCAATCCTTAGCATGTCACAAACATCACATTATTCCCTTTTTATGTGAAGCATAGGCTGCTACGGCAAACTCACAAATTCGTCAAAATCTCCATTCATAGTTCTATATAATTTCAACCCTAGGGGAAAAAACACGAATGCATATTGCATACACTCATACTTGTAGACTTTCATGTTTGTTTTCAGATCTGAGATTCATCCAAAAAGATGTGAGATCATCATTTACAAACTCAATCACCTGCAATGTCTGTAATGACCACATTTATAATCAAAGTTTGATACCCCAAACCAAATTTGTAACCACCTTAACCCTCGTCTACTGTTAAGCATACCGTTGTTTTTTAGATGTGAATCATCCATCTTCATGTGCTATAAAATCACCATAATTCTAATGGAATGATGGAATTTTATTTTTGGCACTCTATGTAAACATTGAGTTGGATACAACCATTCTGCAACTAGAGTAATCACCATACTTACGCATGAAAATGAGAATTCGCATGGATATATCAAACCTAGAAAAAAGCTCATTGAAGTGGAACAATAACTGTTGTGACTACATACTTATCTTATGTAAAAGCATGGTATTTTCATCAACACTTAGTATTAGTTATTGACCTGCGATTTTGCCACAATCTACAAGACTAAAAAAACAAACGACCTCTTTGGAGGAGCACTCTTCGCACAACAATAACAGCATATTTTGCACTGATCTGCAAAACGCAAAAGCCGTGAAGAAGATGACTGCTTTTTATGTAATGCTTTGGCAATCTTTTCCTCACTATGTTCAATATATGTCAATGGCCACTTCCATCTCTATGCAGCCTTTCAAATTATTCTGATGCCCCGCGATAATCTTTTTACCCTTCTCTTACTGAATACACAATGGGCGACTTTTTGTCTACAGATCTTTTACTAGATTTCAAGGCTTAAATTCACAACACTGTATTGGCCTGATTAGCCATCAACCAAGAGGTGATTGATGATGATGGTTTTAGTTCTAGCCAAGTAAACGTCCGAATCATGATACCGAGGAGAATCCCTTGTTCCTTTTGTTCTTTGCCCACCTTCACATTGTTAGGTGGAGGAGTAGACTTAGTACAACTGTGTTTCCTTTCCAGAATCAACTCCTTCAAGTAGGCCTCAACCTCAGAGCAAAACATCAATCAGGAACACAAGTAGTGTTGGTGCAATGACCTCCTCATGCCTCCCAAGTAAGATACTTCTGTTCAACTCCTGAATGGCCAGAGAATCTCTCGGTCTGTCCATCTTGGTAAACGCATCGTCGATGAGCGAGAGCGCACTATGGATTTCCGTACATGTGTCATAACAGTAGCTGGATTGTTGTGTTGCATCAAGCCATGGATCTGTGTTGCATAACATGGACTCTGATGCTTGGATTGAACAAGCAAAGCCCCATGTTAGAACATTATTAAGCTTCCTTTATTATCAAAACGGTGGAAAAAAAGAAAGGCTATGATATATCAAATGGCTATGAAGGCCCGAAGGCCAAGTCGCAACAAGCAGAAACCGAGAGGAGACGGAGATGAAAGAACTCGAACGACAGCAAGAGAGTTCGAGACCTGTGGAGAACCAACTTACCAGAAAGAAGGGCAGAGTCTGAAGAGGTTTCGACTGAGAGCTCCTCCGACCCAGAACTCGAACCTGACTTTTGGGCCAGTGAGGAGAACTGGGTAGTGTAACCTCAAGGCTTGTGTCAATTGCTGGCCTATGTATGACAAACAATACAACGACTTTCGCGAAACTCTTGCCTATTTTGCTCACCGTTCACTGCGTTCACTGACCAGTTCTTGCGAGCAGATAGATGGGAGAAAACTGAAGAAACACATCACGAGTCTGAGCTTCATTGCACCCGAAAATGAGGTGACATGACAAAGAATCTCAATATAATGACACTGTCAATTATCCTCTGAAAGTAGGGTAATAACATGGACTGACAAATCAGGGCAGTGTAACCTGTAACCTCACAAGTTGAATAGGCGCTCATGCCTGTAGGGACAATTCTTTGACTATATTCGGGGCTCACAATGCTGAATCCTCATAATTTTCTATCGGATGAACAAAGATGAATGTCTTATTTTGAAGATGCAAGGAGCCCGGTAACTTATCTTATGCACAAATCAGAGCCACCTTGCACAGGGGAAAAATGGCTAAACTTAAGTCAACAATGGAGCGTGTAAACGTCGAGCACGACGGGTGACATGATCGACAAACCTCCAGGGAGCCTATGATAAAACAATAAACCAAGAATCTACAGGAGAGAACCAAGGCCTAATTGCTCTTAAGAGAAAAAAAATTGGATGCCCCGACCGACATTGAGCTTCTCAACGTAGCTCGATTCTCCGTTCGTGACAGCAAGAGGACCCGCAGTAGAGATCAAGTCCGACACGTGGGCGCCATTCACATCCATTCCCAGCCTCTTCGATTTACCTTCCAGATGCCAACCCTCATGAAAAGTTTTCGTGACGCGAGGATATCCCACTGGAGCTTCCACTGTGTATGAGGTCTTCGACACTTGTCCTCCAACTCCATATCTGTGTTCGGAAGATACAGTGTACTGAGCTGTCATGTACCCCTGCTGCTCACCAGAGGTACTTTTGATCTGCTGCTTGGCAATTCTCAAGGCCTTTAGAACTTCTCCTGCCTCACCATCGTCCGCGGGCACCACAGCGGCACTCCGTTCTTGCTGAGGAGAGCCCGAATCCCACCCACCGTAACCTCGGTTGATGGAGCTCGGATTGTCTGGTTGTGAAGGGTAGCCATTCATGGAAGACCTGGGACCTGGCATTCCATACTGGGGATAATAATCAGGTCTATTCGGAGCTGCATGCGGCGGGTAGTGCATCTCGGATCGACCATGGTAGCTGCTGTAACCACCTGCCTCTATATTTTGAGCAAGCTGAGGCTCTTCGACGCTATACGGGGGAGCGTATCCATATGGTCTTTGACCCATCGTTCTGCTCCTCACCATGCCAGGGTTTTCTGCTTCTTGCCAAGGAGGAGGCATGCCCCTGTAAGCATCTCCTCGTGGCCCCAGCTCCCCTCTTTGTCTGTAAGTATTTCTATACTGCAAGTCATAATCCATGTGATCTCTATCAGGGTAGGTATAAGGACCCCGCATGTCTCTCTCCGTGGAAGGGTAGGGAGCTCCTGCGCCATCTTCACTGCTGGAGTGGGAGTAGTGGGGATCGGACATCCTTCTCTCCTCCTGCCTTTGTACCCAACTAGGATCTCCCATGTGAGGATCCCAGCGGGGCCCAGGCCCACTTCTGTAGAGTGACTCGTCTGAACCTCTTTCTGTCCTTGGTTTCTGAAGATATTCGCGTTCAGAATGGGCGTAAGGACCTGCATCACCTCTTGGAGTTCTGTTATTCATGACTGGTGCATAATATACATCACGAGAAGCTCTATCTTTCACTTCCCTCACTGGCCAACCTTGCGAGTCGACGTCACCCATGCTGTCGACAGGTGCACCGTGCGAGAGAAATCGTTCCCTGTGAGGACCCCTGTCTGATCTGCTGCCAGGAGAATTATAACCATTACTGTGCCCCCTGTCTGACCTGCTGCTAGGAGAATGAAAGCCTCGACTGGGAGGTAGACGTTCGGGAGTCCTTCCATACAGATCTTTGCTAGCTCTCCTGTAGGAATCGTCTTCGTCTCTAGAATGGTGTAGATAGATCCCGTTCGGTAGCTCTTCAGCATCTTCGTCATCAATCAGCTCGTCAGAAACACCGTTGTCTGTGGGCTGATCTTCTATAATTTCTATTCGACCATTGAAGCTGGCCCTCCTGGAAGCGTTTGCAGAGGTCGCGTCATGAGACAAATCGAATGACTTTGTCCTAGATCGAGCAAAGGCCGGCTTAATAGACGAGTCAAAAGACTTGGATTTTGAAAGTTGTGTCTCGGATTGTGAAGACAAGTCGAACGATTTCGACTTGGAGAGAGGTGCAGGAAGAGTATCCTCGGCATTGACGGCAGCAATCGCCTCTGATTTCGTTTGGAGAGAAGCTCTGTTCGATCCATTCTCCGCAATCACGTTGCCATCTGCTGTCACCAGCGGAGGTAATCCGTCCTGTGAATTGACGGAAGAAGTTCAGCATATGGATGTCATCAACAGTGGCAGTCAACATTCACTTTGCAAATAATTATCCAAGCATACCGTCCAAATGCTCTACGGAGAGACGACTGATTATGAAACAAACTTGGCAAAAGCTAGGGAATACAGTTCAATTTCGTGGAAATGGACCCAGGAGTCAGTTCACAACATCTGCCAACCATAATCACATACATCGATTCCTTCAAGTTTGAAGATGTCGACCTGGTGAGAAAATAATTCTGCAGGTTCGACCGCAGGCAATGTAGTTAATAAGCAACGGCTTACCTCGTCCTTGTCGTTCGTTTGATGGGCTTCAAAGTTCTCCTCCCATTCTCGCTGTGCAGTCTCCTGAGCTTCGTATTGTTCGACCAACTTAGACACCTGTTTAGCAACAAAAGCATTGTTTTTTGCGGTTTCGCTTTTCTCAGCAGCGCTTTCAGTCTTTGAGCCATCTTCCAGAACTGCTTCCGTTGGATTCTTCACACCGTTAAGGCTGGAGTCCGGTAGTATGACACCCAATTTTGCTCCAGCGACACTTTTGCTTGATTCAGACTGCTTCGCCTGAAGAACTTTAGGAACTTGTCCCATCCATCCCATAAGCTCTTGCCTAACACTGTCCTCGTCACCAAGAGCTGCCATTTCTTGCCCTATTTGGCGCCACATTGTTCGTAGCCGCTCCTCGATGGCAGTTCTGCTTCGAAGAAAAACACAAAACACATATCAGTCGGCGAGGAGTGGCATCGATGGTACAACAAGGGCTCCAAAGAAAAGACTGGAGAATTATAACAATGTCACAAGTGGACTCGCATGAGTTGCTAAGATCTGGCAAGTATTTTCTCGTGTACCTGGCGGAACATGAGAAAACTTACAACCTGGAATAAGATAAGACATCCGGGTCCGAAAACTTTTCTTACTTTTAAATGTCTCTAAACAGAGGTGCTTATGAGTCGGGGGGTTCAAAGTTGGAAACAGAATCATACCTCGTGTCTTTTCTGGTTTTCGTCTGGATGGGAGAACTGGATTCTCTTTCAGTACTAGATGCAGAATCTGACGTTTCCGAAGATTTTGATCCATTCTGTGATTCCGAGGTTCCTTTGTCAGAAGCTTGAGCAGGTAACATGTCTTCGCTCTCCGGACGCAGTACAGTCTTATTATTTGGTGATACCTCTATTTGCCCTGGATTCGTCTCTGCTGCTGTTTCGCCACCTGCTTTCGGGTCTCCATTTTCATTGGCCTGTGAGCCAGCTGCAGAAACGGGCAGCGTTTCTTTCGCTTGTTCACTGGGAACAACCATTTGGTTGAGTTTCGCCAGTGCTTCTTGTAACGCCACTTCAGCTTTCTTCCGAAGCTCTACTTCGGCCTGCCGGAGTTCGACTTCTGCTGCCAATCTAGCCTCCAGATCAGCCACCTGTTCGTATTACACTCGTGTTAGTGACGAGAGATTACAAAAACGCACAGTTATAGCACAACTGGCTACGGCCGTACCAAAGTCTTGCAAATCTGAGAAACTCTGGAACAGATTCTCTGCGGATTCATTTTCCACAGGAAATGTGAATACAACTTGATCAACCCTGTAAAGACAGATCATTTCGGCTCTTTTCTGATTAGCTAAATGGTCATGCTTTTCATACCCAAATACTACACGAGATTCAGGTCAGGAAATGTGTTAGAAAAGATCTGTCATCGAAAATTGCAAATCCATGTCCGAGTCTATCTGAACTCGTTACCTTCTTTGTGAGATGTGACATTTGCTGCTTCGTGGCCTTCGACGCAGAACGCTCGGCTAGAAGCCTAGCTCGCAGAAACTCAATAGTCATTGCAGCAGGCTCATCTCCGGGCGGCGCTTTTCTGGGATTCAACAAGATAAACATCCGTGATTAATTGGGCTTCTCTTGCCACTTATCTTCGGTATGTCACCAATCTGAGGACCTCCTGCTGACCCTCCTGCTCCTGCGTAAACATACTCCAAACCAGTGCTCTGTTTCGTGTGGCGGGAATAGGTTTATGAATAGGCAGTAGAGTAAAGAGGAAACAGACGAGTCGAAATAGGGAAAATTTAGAAACACAGAGAGGTTGAACATTCATCCCAGCCCATTATTGTCGACCAAATTTCTCGTCTACATAACGAACTTCAGATGGGTGCGATCGTTGTACGAGAATGAATCCTCTCATTTCGAAGGAGGCCCTTATCCGAAAGCCATGACTATGCATTGCAGACTCTGCCTTACTCTGATAAGAATCAAGAGACTCACCTCGCTTCTAGTATGGGAAGACTTGGATTGTTGAGCAGCGACTCTTCCCTGTTTTGGATTTTCGCAGCAGTGACGTGCCTTATGAGCTCCTTTCGACGATATTTCTGGTCCAAGTCTACAGGCTGAAACTCTACAATCTCTTCTACTGGCGCTGGCTTGATAATTGGAGAACCCTCGATCGACCCCCTACCATCTATTTCGCCGATGGAAGCGTTGCGAACATGCTCTCCATTCGGAGGTTCTCCGGGAAGCGCCTCCGTGCTGGGAATCTCCCGATCTTTTGGTGAAGCATTGTCAGTCTGACCAGGAGCTATTTTTTCTGGCGATAGGACAGCGTCCGGAAGAGAACGAGTTACATGCTTGGCTTCTGCATATGTCGATTCCTCTGCCGATCTTGCCGGGACCTCTTCGCCCGATGTTTGGCCGTTCTCGGCATGAGATGGAATGGATTGCTCCGAAGAATTTTGACCCTGTGCATTCTGGAGCTGCTTCATAGAAGTGGACCTCCACCTTAGGGGAGTCATTTCAGGCAATTCTGGTGGCTGCTCTTCTTCCTTCGAGAAGAGCTCGCTCGCACTCCGCCGGCAGGATTTGAAACGTCCTGCGATCATGCAACGAAGTCAGTCACTCAACTCAACTCAACAGAATTCCCTGCACGGAGCAAAAGCCGCCAAAGGACAAGGACGAGGCAACCTGCATCGGATATCAGGACGGAGCTAGAAGGGGTGACATTCGAGGGATACTACTGAGTGCATTCCCGGCAGAAAAATTGGAAACACCGACTTAGTACTCTGTCAGCCTCTGGAACGCAACTGAATTCTGGAGCAGAACATACACCGATGCCGTAGGCAAGGGCAAACAATGAGTGGTTTCACGACGCCCGAGACCAATTGCGAGCTTCGGCAGCGAATGTGCCCCGGGAGTGGCGGGATGAACAAGACCAATCCTACATTTCTTGTAATGTGGGTCTTCAAAAACACTTCGTCATTGCCACCCACGTAACACGAGTGGACCAACTAGGCTTCAAGGTGACGAAACTGTAAAATGATCAAGCACCGGATTCAAATCGCAAATCTACGGTCCCCACTGGCGATTCTAAGTGGAATAGGAGCTCCGAGAGGTCAAATCCTCGAAGTTTGTAGGCTGTGGAGTTCAACTAGCACGGAGGAACTTTTTCCTGCAGGGGTGACCTCTCTTGCTGCTCCCCGTCGGAGCGGGTGAAGCTGCTAGCGCATTCCATATATTTCGGCTTCCCCTGTTGCTGAGATAGTCCTCAAGCTCTCGATGTATGCATTCCACGCTGAAGACCATTCTCCGACTCTCCAGTAAAAAGGATTAGACATTTGAAGGCTGCAAGGAGCGTCTGCCCATTCTACTTCCCTTCTTCTGTCTGGCTGGCTAACGAGGCCAAATTGGCCACAGCTCGAATGAGAACTCTTCGTGTTGACAATCGACCGCCGCAGGGGTCAATGCAACGAAGCTATGCAACGATAAAAGTGAGGACCTGCTCTAGGCATGTAAACGACAAATGAAGCCTAAAACTGCAAGCTCTGCGAGTGCAACTGACGGTCCCACGCATATGCTAAACGACTGACAGCCTCAATCGATCCATGAGCCGCATCGTCCATTAAAAACTTTGGCAAGTAGCGCATGCTCTATTCCATCCAATCGGCGCATGTACCTTGCTAGCATTCAATTCCACGTCGTTGACGTTCATATCGAATGCCCAGTCAACCCGGAGCAAGTGAGGAGCATGAAGGTACGCCCTCAGTGCGACCAGGGGAATCTCTCAAACTCGAAGAGCATTGGAAGCTAGCGATCCTAACTCCTGCACTCTGAGATCCACGAAGTAATCAACAAAGGCGGGCAATCCCCTTCGTGAGATCACGGGAAGGGCTGGTCTGTATGGCTCGGGTGCAAGCAGGGGGTTCGCTTCCTGCCAGCGCCAAGCGAAGACTCTATTCAGACGGATGTGAGACACACCGGATTGATAGTGGAGCCGGAGTTTGAGCTCCCTGAGAGAAGACGACAGCCTTGAGGCTTATTATACTATACCACGCTCCCTCGAGTTCCTGGCAGGGTACAGTCATGGCTTACAACAGTGCGTCCGCAATTTCCTCGATAATGTGGTGCGGCTTTCGCGGGTCTACCCCGGGCCTCGCAATGCTCGGGGCGATGGTGGACTTTAATGAGTGGCAGTGATGCAACAACAGCGTGAGCAGATGCATCATTCTCTGAGCAGGCAGGGGTGGGGCAATCTGGCAATTCCCGCTGCCAAATGCAGCTGGCTTCTCCGACGCTTCTTCTGTCTACAGGTCTCTGGCGATCTTTCAAGCACTCAGCTCCATCCTCGAGCATCGCTGCCACTTCAGATCAGCACCATTGGCATTTTCAAGCATGCACCGAGAGCGGCAGCCATGCTCGAGGCTGTGGGCGGCACTGGCCATACGAAAGGTCGATCGATGGGACGGAATGCATGAAACCTTCCAGTTCACGCCACAGTGCGTTACTCTTCGAAACAGCAGCTGCGCTTCCTAACCGGGTCCTTGGAGAACCGGCATTTCTAACAGGCTCTGCTCGAAAAGCCGAGCATGTGGTCCGAGGGGTGCTCGTGAAGAAATGATGGACATGACTGAGCGGCGCATTGCCGCACAGTTGCTAGTGAGTGCTCAGAGATGTATCCGAAGTTCGATGCTATGGAGATGAGGTGGGTCCGTCGACTGACAAGCGCAGTACTAAAATCTGACTGACCTCGAACGACTGAGCCTGCTCTACGAAACACGCGTGCACGAAAGGGCCGGACACACAGAATGCACTTGACCATAACGACAGGGCCACAGAACGCTGCCACCCTCGCACCTGGCATGGAGACGGCTATCTGAACCTCCTCCTCGGTCGATAGTGATCGCCCTCGCACGCAGGAAGCACCATTTGACTATCCGGATCAAGAAGCAATCTGGACTACGAGAGTCAAACTAAACCGGCCATGTCAAATGCACGACCGACGAGCCTGAACGGAGACATAGTCAGCAATCTGCACGACCATGGAACCTGTCACTGGTCGCAATTCCCACTGATCGGAGCATTTCCACCTGATTTCTCGACACTTCTCCCCTCGCGCGCGTGTTCGAGGCTACATCAAGGTGTCCTACACGATCTCACACCGTCCTCGGGCACATCATTGGTCTCTCCTGTATGCCTCTGAGCATTGCCACCACAGCTCGTGGCCAAATTGCTGCTCTGCGCAACCTGTCCGAATCTTCCCGTCTCACGACAGCATTCTCTCCAAATTAATTATGTACAAACATTCCCCCTCCCTCTCTACCTCCCGTCTCTACTCCGGAAGCACGCACACACACTCGGAACTCGGACGAGAAAACCCCTCTCGAGTTTCAGATGGCCCCCCCGTCCGCCCGTCCTACTGCTCTCGAGGGCACCCCTCCTCCTACTCCTCCTCCCCTCCTCCTGTCCTCGACGGCAACTTCTGCTCTTGCGAGACAAGTAAGACATCACCACCATGGCCTCGTCGACCTCGCCAGTGCCCCCCGCCCCCTCCCTCCCTCCTCTCTCTCCCCCCTCCAGTGTCCAGGATCTGCCATACATGGATCCCACCAACTAAAAGCTCGACTCGGCTGCCAGATGCCAGCGAGGTGCTGAAAAGTAACTACTCCTCCCCCCTCGCCCTCCCCCCCCTCCCCCCCTACGAGAATCCGATAATTATTACCCTGCTAGAAAGAAGTCTAGCAGAAGAAGACGCCGCACGTGAAACAAGCTGCCGTGGTCGAGGCCAGGTTCGCCTCTCGAGGTCATTGCGCACTGTAGTGCGAGCAGGAGTGGAGAGAGGTAAATTAGCGCTCCTCCACAAATTAGACCCCGACTTCATCTCATGCTCGAATGCATCTCATCATCCCATCCGAGCTCAGCTCAAGCTCAAGCTCAGCTCAAGTCGGATGGATGGAGGCTGCCTCCCTCCAGCTTCAAGCTTCAATGAATGGGGAAGAAGCAACCAACCAACCATCCAACCATCCCCACAAATCAATCAATCAATCAATCACCACACAAATTTACAAACGGTCATCACCTTTTAATCGCCGTCGGCCCCCGCCCGCCCTCGCAGGCATATGTCGAGCATGATTCCCCTGCAGCAGTGTTGCACTCCGCCCTGATCATCAATCCGCCCCTCCGGCCTCCGGCCTGCACTGCACTCCACTGCCCCGCATATCTCTCCAAATCCACTTCCCCAGCTCCTGCTGCAGGCTTGGCTTGGCCACTGCCGAGGCCAAGGCCAATCCCCGAGCCCGAGCCCGAGCCGAGCCGAGCGCGGGCCTCGAGGCGGCCGAGGATCCCGACTCACTCCGTCCGGGCCCCACCGCAGCAGACTCGTCCACTTCGTCGACCGTAAGCCTTTCCGGCCTCTGATTCAACACCCCTACGAGATTAAAGTCTGATGATTCTCCATAGCCGTGCCTTTAGTCCACCTTTCGGACTGCTTTCCAGCGAACGCCATTTGCTATAGTGCTCGCCCCATTGTCGGCTGGCTAGAAATAACACGATCCAAACATAGCTCGACTTTTCATAGTAACTTCGTGTGACATTTCACGTCCGTCACTCTGCACTCGAATCCGGCTACAGTCTCATGTAGTGTCCACTATCCATCCAGATAGCAAATCAACAACTCGCAGTTCTACCACTATCTGCTGGAATTCGGGGCCCACAGTATTTCTACACAGTAGAGGAGTACAGGATGGGGGACGACCCCATCGAGTAGTATGGATGAAACTGAACGCCAAAGGTGGTCCACAGGAGCTAGATTTTACCAGCCCAACATACTCCGACAATGTACATGTACAGTACGCTGCTCGCATTTTCCATCGTGAGTGCGACCTTGACATGCTTCGACAACACGAAACCGGGAATGCACATGCACTCCCGCCGCGCAAATTTACGCGCGTGAATGACTCAATGCATGGGGGAGACCTCGCGAGACGACATAAGTCACATTCCGTCCCGGCTTACGAGATTCCAGAAGCTCCACTTGAACCACGTCAATGCACCCCTTCACCCTTTGCCATGTTCATGTCCCTGTGTCCTGGTTTAGAAATGCATCCTCGATCTAGGAATTTCTCATTTCATCTGAGCATGTGATTCCTCGACCTCGAGAAGAATCGTTGTGTGCTAAACTATCACACGCCCGCCCGCCCGCGCCCCGCCCCCCCCCCCCCCCCCCCCCCCCCCCCCCCCCGAGTATACATACACTCGAACAACATGAAATAAAACTCCATTCAACATTTCGCCGGAGAAAATGGGGAAGCAAAATGCACACTACAGTTAAGAAGGGGGGCTGGTTACTACGTCCACCATCCCGCCGCAGTCGAGGATTGTAAGAACGAGCGATATTTCAGGCGGTGCTGCCACGAAGACCTGGTCTCCGCAGCAGCTCAGCTCAGCGTACGGGACTGAACGCTAACTTCAGTCCAGTGTGAAGCAGAGCGTCATAATGTGGATGGAATCCGCAGTGAGCATTCGAGGATTACCGTTCTTCGGATGCAGCTTGCATGACAATTAAGGCCCGACAGTTCACATACTCGCGCAGCAACGGATGGAAAGCAGCAGCAGGTGCCGAGTCCAAGCAAGACCAGACAGACTTACTACGCTTGTTGGACTTCGACTTCGAGGACCGAGACGAAGTCTTGTGCGAGCTTTGTTTGAACAGGTCCGAATCTTACGGGCAGCTTAATGGGGGCCTCACATTTGGTTACAGTTCTGTAATCTGAATGTTGCTGTTGCTGTTAGTCACTAACAGCAACAGTTTAACACTAACAGTTAGTGACAAGCGAAGGTGATTGATTCTAATTCCCAAAGTGATCGTATTGTGACTTGGTCCCACGTCTCCTTACCCGCTCGGGGCTTGAGGGGATCTGCGAGTCGTGTTGGATATATTGGTCCCCGTTCGTTCGTTCACTCACTCGTCGGGAGGGGGAACAGGAGATGGGAATCGTGTGACTCCAGCACGCCGCAGTAACGGTAACTTCGTCGTACAGTGCATGTGAGTCCAAGGCCGGTGACCAATACTTGAGAAGTTCCTCAAAATGCGAAGCTCTTTATTTATGGTGGAGTCACTTGTGGACTCGAGAAGTGAACCCTTGGAGAAGCTCCATAGGCTTTTTCTTTTTCCCGTGTGACGTCTTCGATTGACGAATTCCGTTTTATTATTTGCGCATTTGGGTGTCACTTTCGCATGATCTAAACCTGCCGTTCCAACTGATTCGCTTCGTTTCTTGTCTCTCCGACCATTTCTTGGTTCTATACGTCCTTTGCCCCCTTCCCTCTTTGACTCATTGATTTTGACTCTGAAATTGTGCTGTAATGTCGTCGGTGACTTTTGCCCTCGATCTGCAATGTCTTTGGCGAGAAGGATCATTTTTTTCTTCGACCATTTACACGTTCGAATGCAGAATCTGTCACCAAAGTGGACCGAGTTAAAGCTCTACTCGTCTGGGAGAAGCGTATTTCTCTGCTTGATGATGCGTTCGTCTTTACGTCTGGTACTGGAAGAGGTAGGAGGAAGGATATTCTGAATCCCGAGTCGTGTAACAATGGTCGTGCTGCTTTTGCGAAAAGGTGTGCAGCGTTAACTTTCCTTTATGAAAGTCCATTCAGACTCGAGTCTGAATGGTCACCGCAGTAGAAAGCCACACACCTTCGTTTCATCCTTGAGAAAATAAAATGCTCTTATGAAAGGCTGTGAAGTGTTTCGTTCTCTTACCTTCTGTTGATTTTGGCTTTTCGACATCCATGTCAATTATTTTGGCTTGGCCCATCTACATCTTCATCGTTAAATTTAAGAGTAAATCTGCGTATTGAGCGTTAAGAGATTAGAATATAACAAACCATGATGACATTGGTCACGAGGTGTTTGCCATGGTATACGACACCATACAATGACAGTGTTGATATGCCTTGTATTGTACTAGGGATGTAGCAATCTGTGCTAAATCTGTACTTGAGGAGTACTATTGTGATACTTTCGTCTATTACTGGGTGCTGCCTTCTCTACTTTCCAAACATAAGGCTATCATGTGATTTGACTTACATCTCAAAATACTTGATGTAAAAATCGATGACAACATCTATGGGAAGAGCCCATCAAATCTCACACTTGCATCTAATATTTCATCTCAAAATTTCAGTTCATCCACTGGTACTAGACTATCTTTTTTCTCTTTGAGTCGCAACGGAAGTGCCAATATTGCACTGTAATCATTAGTTCACTTCAGTAGTCATCCTGATCTTGGTACCTCATACCGTCCATATGCTTAGTAGAGAAAATAACCCATCATTTTTCGGTCACCATTATTATCATGTGATGTAATATGGAGCTACAATGCTTGTTGGGCTGTTCAGTGCCATGCCAGATACCCACAAAAAAATCGTTTCCTGATGTAAGTGAACTCCCTAGTGATGAAAATAAAGTAAATATTGAGGTGAGGTCCTCCTCGTCCACATTTTAATTTAAGATGCGAGCAAAAATGCACAATGTCATTGCCTCAGATACACGTGGTCATTCTCAGCTTTCCAACATGAAGTGTTAGCACGAGTCGCCTTCTCCAAAGGAGGAACCCCTCGCTTGCTAAGTTAACGGCTTCAAGAGACATAAAAAGATCAATGGTCGAAGTTGATCGAGCTCGTTCTCTCGAAGTTTCGACCGAGTGACACTCGATTACTCTTCACCCGTTGCTGTCTGATGGAACAACGGTCGGGCCCTCACTGACTTTTCTTCTCGTAGGTGGCAAGGTCGAGATCAATTTGGCCTATGATCATCTACATGGCACCAACAGTGCAGCACATTTGCATTCCGAGAGCCTCCCTCCATTCATTAGCATTGGCCCGACGATCGGATCCATCTCCTCCTTCCCTTATTGAGGGCTAAAAATACTTCCTCCCCATTAAGCACAACCTTTTGGTCCACCATTACGTCCCCATCAACAGCACAGGACGCCATTATCGACGAGGAGTCAACACCTAGGACAGATAGTCAACCGCCTTCAACTCAACATTAAGAATCGGAAATCAGCATCCCGTAAATGTTGGGAGAGAAGTCGGTTTGACGCAGCTCGCCTACCCCCGAGTTACCAGGTTGAATCAACATGTGAAATTCACTGGGCTCTGTCTCTGTGGGGTACGGTAGTGCACTGACCTTAATTCTCGACGAGCTTTTTTATTCCCCACAAGTCAGTCTATTAAGATAGTAAACGGATAGACTACAGCATCACGATGGATACATAGCATCATGTGTCACCCTGGGGCCATAGTAGCAGTCGATTGTGACCATTTACAATTCCACTTTCGCCGATGTGTCCCCCGTCATGCCAAAACATTTCAATGGCAACAGGGAAAAGCCATCAATCTGCAGCAGAATCAGAAGATAAGACAACCTCTTAAGCTCCTTGGCCCCCCACACGCTCCTTCGCATCCTTTTCGCTGTATCATTTGGTGCCCCCCTTGCCCTCTCCACGTGTCAGACCATCTACTGTCAGCATCTTTGAGGACACTTTCGCCATTTGCATTCCAATAACTGTGCATTTAT